GCTCACTGGCTGAGCGAGGTGCGGGCGCAACACTGAGGGTTGCGATCCCGTTGCCAGTCCTGGTCCGGTATGGGCGCAACACTGAGGGTTGCGATCCATTGCCGGTCACGGAAAAAGACAAAAAAGGAAATAAAATAAAATAAAATGATGTTGAAAGGATCAAATGGGGTCATGGGGTATTCTATGGGCTTATATTGAGGCTTATACTATGGTAAGCACTCAGTAGAGGGAAGCATTGTTTTCTAATTATTTCTAATAAGAATAGTGCCTTTTCTCGGGGAGAGATTCTACTTGGCTGATCACAAGAAGTTTCTTTCTTCCTCTGCGAGGTACTAGTATCTTCAAACAAAAATGACCCTCAGTCATTTTGTTCTAGGACCTCGAGCGATTTATTTTCTGTTTCCATTTCCTCATCCATTAAATGGAGCGGATAAAATCCACATCAGAAGGCTGTTGTGAGGAACTAGAGATACAATGCCTGGCCCGTAGCATAAGGCAGTGAATGAATTACATAGTATGGGGGGGAGTTATTCCCACCTGCAGGAGTCACATTTATCCTGTTGCTGTTGTTGCAAATACAAGTGCAAATCAAAGCGCGAAGAATGTGCATTTCTTTGCTCTCCTATAATTTAATTTTTATTCTCTGCCCCATTTCTCAGGTAACAGAATTCTAATCCCATCCACCCAGGCTCTGACAGCTCTTGTCTTCCTGCAAAGGTTCTGGGGAGGAGGTGTTTACAGAATGCCAAGATGCTCGGGGTGGGGGCGTGTGGGTACCTGGTCCTTGGCCATGGTCCACCTGTGCTGGCATCTTCTGGGATATCCCCATCACATCTGGTCACGCTGGTCTGCTCCAGCACAGTGATCACCTCTCTTGTTCCCAGTTACAGGGCCTTTCACGTATGCAGGTGCTCAGGGCCATGTCACTCTTGGGTGTTTGCCAAACCCCCTATGACCTCCAGGCCACATGGTGGCATAGAGATCTTTGGACTGTGTCAGGTCTGCCTGGTCCCTCACTGTGGGCATGGGGAACACTGGGGTCCTGCCACTTCCAAGGGGTTTACCCTGACAGGGGGCACAGGGGCCTCTATCCTTGAATACCCCATCCGCTTCTGGTCCTGATAACCTTGATGCCTGGCATGGTGGCTTTCATCCATCTCCCAGACATCCTGTTCATGCCCAGAGTCCTTCAGAGCCTAAAGCCCGGGTTCCCACAACTCCAGAGCCCAAGCCCTTGACACTCAAGTATCTTGTCTCTGCTTTATTGGCCGAATCATCCCTCCCAAAGTCGATGCGTGCCCCTGACAGAATGCAGAAGGACAGAAGAAAAAGGAAAGCAGGATAGGGGAAGACCCTGGGTTGATCATTCAATCTACTCTTCTACCGCACTGTTTTGCTGAGAATGAGAATTAGGAAGTACAGAAAAATTACTGTGGAGGGGAGAATCCCTCCAGGGTTGAGAATGTTTTTTGATGTTCTCAGGCCCTCCCTGTGGTCTGAGTTTTTTTTTCCCTGGATCCTGGAGGTGCTCCTTCTCTGGGCCTGGAGGACATGCCTTCTGGAGGATCCCGCTCTGTTTGCTGTAGGAGGGCACCTTCCACCAGCCCACCTCCCTGCGGCCACGTGCCCCCATGCAGAGGTCTCCAGGCTCCCTTGACCTATTGTCTTTTTCGGTCCCGCCTTATCAGCACCCCTATTGAGCATGCTCCAGTGTGCACCAGCCAGGCCACCACCCCGCTGCTGCCTGCTTCTGCCCAGCCGCCCGCTGCTGCCTCTCCCAGCATGGCCACTGCCCATGCTGCCACCGCCTCTGCCACAGCCCCTGCTTCCAGCCCTGCGGACAGTCCCAGGTAATTGGCCCATAGGTGCTCTCCCTGACTGCGGGAAAGGGAGGCAGGAAAGGCCCCAGCCTGAGTCCATCTGCCAGCAGCTGTGTGATTCGAACCCGAAGGGCAGCACTGCTCAGTGCATAGTGTGAAGGGAAGCTGAAGATGTGTTTCAGAGGCGTGCACCGCCTGTGGCTGAGAACAGAGGCAGGGACTTTGCCTGGCCCCCCAGGGGCACGCACACACACAGAGTTAGGTAACAGAAGGATTGTGTAGGAAGTCCTAGTTCCTGGAACTCAAATTAGGGAGAATGAAAATTGTCCCTGTGGGCTGGGGAAATCGAGGACGGCTCCATGGAGGAGGGAGCATTGAGCTGGGCACTCTCTCTTCTACTCTCTCTTCTCTTGATGGAGAAGCATGTTAACTCCAGGGGCACCCATTGTCATGGGATTTAAATCTCTGCTCCATGACTTACTGTCTGTAACCTTTAGAGAGTGACTTAACCTCTCTGAACCTCAGTTTCCTCATCTGTTAAGATGTTTAACACCATATGTATATTTATAGGGTCGAGAGAGAAAAAAATGTACATAAAACATGTAGCATGTAAAAAGGGCACAAGTACTTCGAGTTCCTGCACCCCACCCAGCCCTCCTGGACACCCAGCAAGGTAGAGACCTAAGGCAGGGGGAGGTGCAGGAGGCTGGACAGGCCACTCTGGAGCAGCCAGGTAGTGCAACAGGTTGGGCTGGCCCAGCTCTCTTCCTGGGTTTCCTGGAACTATAAGTTGGCATTTGGGGTCAGAGCCTGGCTTCTCCAGCCTCCCATGCTCCCTACCCCAGGCTTTTGCTGGGGAGGACATGCCGCTCTGGGTCAGGGTGCATAGGTCCATGGTGCAGCCTGAGGTGGGACTGATTTAGGCAAAGTGGCCTATCTGCTTTCCCCTACCCCCAGACTTCACAATGACCCACGTGGTACCAAGCCTGGCCTTTCTCCAGCCCAACTCGAACCTCTGGGGTGAGCATGGCCCTGGGCCTCCAGGAGTTGTTTTATCGCAGTGGGATTTAGCAAGCTGCTTCCCTTCTCCACTCCAGAATCTCTTTGCATAATGGCCTTGCTTCCTGCACAAAAAAGAAACTTTGAAGAGTGTAAGAGATGTCCCTGTTGTTGAGGGGGAAGAAGCTTCCCAGTTTGGACGGGGGAGGTCTAAATACTGGGGTCCCATGGGCAGTATAGCCTCACACCTAGGTCCCCAGCCCTGCTCACGGGCAGGCTCCAGCATCAGGCTCCAGGCCTTCATGTCCTGGGCCTGCCCACCACATAGCTCCTGGAGCCTTTGACGCCCTCAGCAGGGTGAGTCCTCTTTCCCTTTGCCTTGCCAAGACAGTAGGGGTCTGGGTGGAACTTGGAGAGGGGCCCAGAGGGCACTGGGCTAGGGCAGAAGGGATCAGCGGTCACACTCTGAGCCCAGCTGCTCCCCTCCTTGCAAATGCGCTAAGATGGAGCTCGAGCTAGGGGGACCCATGGGAGGCAAATGCACACACCAGCCTCTCATCGGAGCATGGCTTCAGAATTCTCACCAGATGGGCCGAGCCCGTGGCGCGCTGGCTGAGCGCGGTGCGGCCAGTCTCAAAAAGGACAAAAAAAAAAAAGAATTCTCACCAGATGTAGGAGGCCTCTGCTTCCTCTCCCAACACCAGTCCCTAGCACAAGACCCATAGCCCCTGGCATGCTGGCAAAGCGTCCTTCACTGGTGGGAGAGTCTGGGTCAGACCCACTGACCCCTGCCCTGTTCCAGTCACAGTGGAAGCTGGGCACTCGATGAACGCTGTCTGTCCCTTTTCCATCTAGGCCCCTACTCCACAGGTCTTAGCATGGGGATCTACCCAGGGAAGGGCAGGCAGGCCCAGGGAGGGGGGACAATGGCCTCATTCAATCAGAACCTTGGCAAGTTGACAGGGCAAGTCTTCACAGCCCCAGGTCTGGGACACTGGCTCTTTGAGGCTCATTTTACCTCTGCCTTGTCTGGAGCCACCCCACCGGCCCCTCTGGATCCACTCAGGAGCTTGGTGGCAGGTTCCTATCCCAGGGCCACCTCCCTCCCAGAGACCTAGAGGGGAGGGCACTCCCTCATCCTACAACTCTGCCCAGCAGGGACGGGCAGACCCTAGAGGCCCATGAGGAACAGGTGGAAAGAAAGCAGGATGCCATGGGCTGGGGGTGGGGGCACAGGCAGTGTATTTCCAGGGGCTCACTTCTCTAACACCCCCATCAATGGCCCATTTGCCCTGGGTGTGGTCATGTGGTCCCCTCTGGGATCTGAGAGATACAAAAGGCCATGCAGGGAGACACCAGAGAGGTGTTCTGTAAGGTGTTCATTAGTTTTCAATGAAGAAAAAGATTTCACAAACAAATGAAATTGGGAAACACAGGGTCAGACAAGATGAAACAGGCTGCTGAACCCCAGGAGTTCTTGGAGCTTTCAGCTCTCCCAGAGGAGAGGCCAAGTACAGCATTTCCTGAGGGCAATGAACGAGGACACTTTTTTCCCCACCTCTTTGGTTCCTGGGCCACAGGTAGGAAAGGCTGCTGTAGGCCTCTCCCAGCTAAGCCAGTGGGAAGAGGGCAACAGGAATTCTATACGGAAGAGATGTTCAGTGTGTGTGTATGCGTGTGTGTTGCGGGGAGCTGTTGGGGCCTCCTGCCTTCCCATGAGCCCTCCCTGGGGCATTCTTGCCCAGAAACATGAGACTCTGCTACTCCCTTCTGCAACAATAGAAAGTGGAGGATGCCAGGTGGTCTGAGACTGTGAGGTGCCCCAGAAGGTTGCGGGGTGGGGTTGCTCTGACCACCTCCATCTCTCTCCTCTCTCTTGCCTCTGCCCCCATCAGTCCCATGGAAGCAATGGGTTTGCTGTGCGTCCTCCTGTCTCTCTAGTGGCTTTCCTCCCTCTCTCCAAAAGCGGTGGCACTAGCCACCCAAGCAGCATGTTCCTCCCCTCGAAGTGCCCCTTGGTCTTTCCTTCACAGCCTCTGGCAGTTCCCCAGGGATGCCTCTGTCAGGTCTCCTCCTCCCAGAGGCTCCTGAAGATTGGGGAGCCAACCTGCCATGGCTGCAGGCCCCAGGGCCGAGTTGGAGCTGTCCTTCTTGCTGTAACTCTTCCCCACTTGGTTCCAGGCCCCAGGCCTCTGCCCACAGCTCTGCAGCGACCACCTCTCCAGCACCCACCGCCCATACCAGCTACAGTGAAGGCCCATCTGTCCCTTCATCCAAGCCCCGGGTTGTCACCACTGCCAGCATCCGGCCTTCTGTCTACCAGCCAGGTGAGAGGCAGAGTAGGAGGGGAGGCTACCTAGGCTGGGCATGAGTTCTGGGAGTCGGAAGAGCAAGGGGTCTGCTCATCCCAGAAGGATGGTGGTCAGCAAGGCCCTACCAGCAAGGCTCAGCCCTCTTTCCCCCCAGTTGTGAGCCAGAATCCTAGGGAGCCTGCATCTGGCCTTGAGCCAGACAGGGACAGAGCCTCTTAGCTCTTAGGAAGGAGACATTCCTGTCTGGAGAGTTCCAGGCTCGAGGTGAGGGAAGAGAGGGATCAGAGGGGAGAAACTGTTCCTACATGAGTGTGGGTCCAGCTCAAGCTGGAGTTACAGGCACCTATAACAAAAACAGCTGGGCTTTGGACAGACCTACTGCATCCTGGTGGGACCCTGGGCAAGCTGCTCGACCTATCTGGTCTTTGATTTCTTCGGCTGAGACAGGATAGCCTGAGGCATGGGGAGCACATATGAAATAGAGGGGCCAGCTCAGGGCCAGCAGAGGCAGAACTCACTGGTTGTCTGTTCCATCTCTCTGAGCCTCATTCTCATCAGTGCCCAGAGGCCCCTTGCAGGGATGAGGGCTCAGCCCCATGTCCCCGACTTTCCTAGGCAGAGTTGGGCCTGCTTCCCTGAGCCCAGGGGATAATTCTCAGACTGGCATACAGCCCACCTCCCCCTGCCAGCCTTTGCTCAAGGATCCCGAAGGCTCTGTAGCAGGTATTTTCCCAGGTTGGGGGATGGTCCTGTGTGCCCTGGTCTATAGGACATGCCCACAGGAGGGCTCCCAGAATCCAGTCCCTGAGTCTGATCATCATCCCCTCTGACCTCCATGAGGGCAGGACTATAGTGGATTTTCTCCACTGTATGCACTGGCCTCAGGCCTGGCACAGAGGAGACGCTCAGCACAGGCTTGGAGAGTGAAGGAGCAAATGAATGCTCAGATGCTGGTGAGGAGCACGGGGCGGGGGGGCTGTGAGCTGTGCAGTCTGTACTCTGGCGGCTGCACACACAGGGGCAGTGGGTCACAGGGTTCTCAGAGTGGTCCTTTGGTGCCTATTCCACGGGTGAGTGAGGGAGGATGTTAGGTGGGCACACCCTTGTCATTTACAGCATGATACTTTCAACATATGTATCTTTAAGCCACTTTGAACTTAGGGAAGCAATAATGATTTTCCATTTACAAACATTTCTTTCCCCTCAAAGTTATTACACACATACAAATTTTTAATAGACTTCACTTTTTAGAGCAGTTTTAGGTTTACAGCAAGATAGAGCATAAGGGCCAGTGCGTGGCTCACTCGGGAGTGTGGTGCTGATAACACCAAGGCCACGGGTTCGGATCACGTATAGGGATGGCCGGTTTGCTCACTGGGTGAGCGTGGTGCTGACAACACCAAGCCAAGGATTAAGATCCCCTTACCGGTCATATTTTATTTTTAAAAAATAGAGCGGAAAATAGAGATTTCCCATATATCTCCCTCCCTCCCTGTCCCCATGCACAGCCTGTCCGTTTATCAACATCCATCCAGAGACGCAGAGACGCGCGCACACCATTTTTACATATGGTAAAGCTGATGCAGCGAGGAAATTAACGACCTGTTTGGGAACGAGGTAGATAATCCTCAGGGAGAGGGTGGGGGACAGAGAAGGCTTCTCTGTGTCATGCAGGAGTCTGAGTTGGCCAAGACGCCACGGGGCAGAAGAAGTCTAAGTCTGCTCAGCACGCCCTGTTAAGGCACAGTGAGAGACCCCAGGGGGTTCTTTCTCTGTGGCTGGAGCTCAGGGGACATAAGACGAGGACTGAGTCAGGAAGGGCCTGGCTTTGGGGAGCTGGGACCTGAGGCGCAGGGCCGACCCCGCGCTTGCCGAGTGAGGGCGGTCGAAGCGGCTCCGGCCTGGGACGGCCTCCCGCGCCGGCCGCGGGCGCCTGCGGCAGGGACCTGCGCTCTCCAAGGCCTGAGTTGCTCATTTGGCAGACGGGGGCGATCCTACGTACACCTGTGTTCTGGGGGTGCAATGCAGTGCCTGGCACACAGAGGGGGGCTTCTCTGTCCCTTCAGGGGCCAGGACAGAAAGTTCTGCGGTTAAAACTGCACGGGGCGGGATGGAGAACGACCGCGGATGGGGAGGACGGAGGCGGCCGCCCCGCGAACACTGGGACTTCGGGACGGAGGCCGGACGGAGTCTGGCGGCGACGCGGGCGTGGACGGGCGGCCTGGTCGCGGCGCGATAAAAGGCATTTCCGTCCCGTCCGGGGCGGGCCCTTCCGGCACCTTCCGGGGCGGCCCCGCGCTTCGGCGTCGTCGCAGGCCCGCCAGGGGGCGGCCGGGCTCCGGGGCGCGCGCCGCCGGCCCGCCCTGCGTCCCTTCCCTCCGCCTCCCCGGCCCGGGCCCAGGCGGGC